GTCATTGACAGATCTTCATTATTGCCCTTGAGACCACTTTAGTAATGCTTTGTGAAAAAGTATTATTTAAAAATGATGGTTTTCACAATTAAAACAGTAAATGTGGAAATGGGAAAGGCTTTGCTGTCTTTTTGAAATGGGTTGTTTCACGTAGTGTGTATTTTCAAATTTATAGTATATATATCCATGTAAGGGATACAAAATTAAACTTTTTTTTTATTTAAAGTTGTGTCTCTTCACTCCATCACTATCACTTTTGGAGAAAAACAACAAATGGGGATAAATCAGAAGATCAGAATCTGAACTAAGTCCAAAGCAGAGTTTCATCATTTCACTAAGAGTTTCTCCTCCTGAAAATTTGATGTTTTCCTCTTTTATCCATGCTTTTCAAATTCTGTGTAATTTTGCTAACAGAACTGACGAAATAAGTGAACGAAAAGTTAGTTACTTACTTAGATAAGTGTAACGTGATGAAGGAGCTATTTCCACCAAGGTTATTTAACCTCTCTCCACAGATGCCTCTGACACAGTGCTCGAGTGCATGAGACGGCCTCAAAGTCATGCATTTGCTTCTAAACTGTTTACTTTCCAGCAAGAGAAGAAAGACGATAAAAAGACTATTTTCTTTTATTAAATCAAAGAACTCTATTTTTAATAAAGCTAATCAAAACAACTGTTAGTCAATAATACAATGTGACCGATCTGTGAAATCACAATGTTATGATTATGTTTTATTAAGTAAATGACTTAACCTAGTTCACTAGACACACTGACACACATAATGAAAACAACGCATGACACATTGCTGTTACTGATCCAATCAGAACCTTCCTAGTCTGAAGCGTGGCATAGTCTCTGTGGTGTTTATAAATCTGCCAACTTTGATTCGACCAGAATTCAAAACATCCAGATTGATAAAACCAGTTCCAACGCCATCTTAGTTCAGTTCTCAAGATCTCTCTGGAGTTCACTGCATGCTAAGCGAAGTAACTGGACTGGCCATCCGGACTTCCTTTTTAAGCTGAGAACCAACAAGCTGGGAAAATCTGTTGCTTTTTACTAACCAAGCAACGGTACCTTTCAGAATAAAAGCTGAACTCACTGACCCAAGGAGGGTCCCCTTTTTGACGCTGTGAACCACCTGTCGCTTTTTACCTAGAGACAATCCAAAGACTAGTTTGTCGTACTGTCAACGCTGTTCCATCGGCTCCAGTACCAGAGGAGGGTCCGTGGACCTGGCATCCGGATCTGTACGTTGGTCTCACTGAGGGTATGTGTGGATGCGACAAATATGGCACCTCATGTGTTTATGCAACTACTCCGGTCAAACTCTGATCATAGTTAGGAGAAAAACATCATCTCCCACTCGGACTTGCTTCTCCGGATACGAGAGTTCTGATTAACACGACTCACACACACCATCCATCTCACAGCTCATTCAAACAGATACATCCATCATTAGAGAGTTAGTATTGTTTAAAATTATTTAGTGATAAATCATCTTAAACGTTTGAAGGACTCTCTCTTCTCCTGTCTTTCAGTTAATACAAAGTGTTACAAATCCCTACATTAAAAAGTTCCGATCTTCTGGTTAAACAACTCAGTGGTCCATAAGATTGATCCCATACTCGATATGGAATCTTAACGTCTCACGGTCCCTAATTAGATGTAAATTAACTTTATTATATAAATGTCTATCCAGAAATAAATTTCCCTTTCATCTTTGGACTAAATTAATGCATAATTAAAATTAGTATTGCATAGATCCTTTGTTCCAACATGAAAATAAAGAACTGTGTTTGAGAACCAATCCGGGTTTTGAAGGTTATTAATTGGTCTAATCCCGGTTTTCTTTGGTATGCTCAAGGCAGGGATGGAGATCCCATTTCATTTCCGTAGTGGGGGGTCCATGTGTGCTCTTGGCACCAGGATACCTTAGGGCCACAGCTCGATGATCGACTTTGTTGTTGTTTCATCCAGGCCCGGAGTGGCTAATCGGGAGGGTCTGGAGAATTCCCGGTGGGCCGCGCGATGTTTGGGCCGCATGGGGCCGGTGCTCTCGTTTTTGTTTTTTATCATTTTATTTTTATTTTTTGGTGCCGGTGTTCAGTCATGGCACTGAGGCCGCCGGGCTGATCACATACGCTCCTCCCGGCTGTCTCTGGCTGGCTCTACCTGCAGGCTGCAGCTCATTTTTTTTCCCCCGTATGCGCCTGTGCGCACCACGTGACCACGCAGTTGACGGAAAGATGGAAAGTAGAAAGAGCAAGGGTGGCGCGGAGAAGGCAAGAATTAAAAAGAGGAAAGCGCTGGAAACAGATGCAGCTAAATGTGCAAAAATGAGCACCTTTTTTTCTCAAACAAGCTTGCGGTCTTTAACTTCAAATGAAGATAATGGGTAAGGCAAGTCAAGATGTTAAACTTTACCGGCTGCAAATCACCATTCAAGTTAATTAAGCATCAATAATGAATTATATGGCATCATGACATAACGTTATGTAATATAATTTACAGTATGATGTGACTGATGCCACCAAACTGTCTTGTAGCCCCTCAGAGTCAAACACAAGATCCAGTAGGCCTAATAAGCACCAGGCAGAAGCCCACAATTCCAGAGCGGGCATGTACAGGTAGGATTACTTATTGAGTCAGTGAACTGAATATTATTAAAATTTATATGATGAAAACTATCCTGGCTCTATATGAAAGTGTTCTAAAATGCTAGATGATTCAGCATTGATCAGTAAGTGTGTAAAAAAGGAAAATGAAGGCTGAATTGTGACCATTTTCACACAGTGTGATTTAGTGTCAGAAGAAGAGCCAGGAGCCAGCAGTGAGGGTATTGCTCCTGTTGGGATAGAATGAATAGGTGAGCCAACTCATGTGCAAACAAGCAAACATCAGTTTCATTATAATAATTTTAATGTCCAAATAATAGTAGTGACCTGATGTATTTCTGTTAGTAAATGCACAAAGCCCACAACAGATCGCTATTAGAATGAAAGTAAAATGAAATAAGCCTGCTTATTTTGCCATAGAAAATATTTTAATTGGTTACAAAAAATGTGTTTTCCATATCAAATGTGCTAAAGCTTTACAGATGATTATTTTAATTGTGTGCAGGTGAGTCTAGGGAAACTGGAAAAAGTGTGAAAGGGAGTGCTGAGTCATTTCATTTTAAAGGTTTGAAAATCTCAGAACAGCTGTTTGAACAGAAGGTAGATTGTTAGATTGTTAGAGAATGTGTTGTAAAGAACAATGTTGGAGATGTGCACTGATGTTCAAATAAACCTACATTGTAAAGCAACTCTTTCTTGCACTGAATTACAAGGCTTTACCAAGTAGTGTGCTTTTGTAGACTATACATTTAACGTTCTAACATGATTTTAATAATAATTCATTAAGTGGGCCGGTCTGGGGTCTGAAACTCCAGGGCTGAAAACGTGTCCCACTCCGGCCCTGGTTTCATCTGACCTGCGGCCGCATGTCTTGGACACTCGGATGAAGAGAGGGGCGGAGCTGTCAACTGACCACTACCTGGTGGTGAGTTGGCTCAGATGGTGGGGGAGGATGCTGGTCAGACCAGGCAGGCCCAAACGTATCACGAGGGTCTGCTGTGAACGTCTGGCAGAGTCTACTGTCAGAAGGAGCTTCAATTCCCACCTCCGACAGAACATCCAAAATGTTCCGGGGGAGGCGGGGGACATTGAGTCTGAATAGACCCTGTTCCGTGCCTCCATTGTTGAGACAGTCGACCGGAGCTGTGGTGGCAGGATCGTTGTTGCCTGTCGTGGTGGCAACCCCCGAACCCACTGGTGGACACCAGCGGTTAGGGATGCTGTCAAGCTGAAGAAAGAGTCCTATCAGGTCTTTTTGGCCTGTGAGACTCCAGAGGCAGACAACGGGTACCGACAGTCCAAACGGAACGCGGCTCGGGTGGTCACCGAGACAAGAACCCGGACATGGGAGGAGTTCGGTGAGACCATGGAGCAAGACTTCCATGCAGCTTCGAGGAGATTCTGGTCCACCATCCGGCGCCTCGGGGGGAAAAGCAGTGCACTACCAACACTATCTATAGTGGGGACGGTGTGCTGCTGACCTGTACTCAGGACGTTGTGGATCGGTGGGCAGAATACTTTGAAGACCTCCTCAATCTCACCAACACGTCTTCCAGTGAGGAAGCAGTCTGGGGACTTTGAGTTGACCTCTCAAATCTCTAGTGCTGAAGTCACTGAGGTGGTTAAAAAGCTCCTCTGTGGCAAGGCTCCGGGGGTGGATGAGATCTGCCCAGAGTTCCTTAAGGGTCTGGATGTTGTGGGGCTGTGTTGGCTGACACGGCTCTGCAATATCGCGTGGACATTGGGGGCAGTCCCACTGGACTGGCAGACCGGGGTGGTGGTTCCCTTATTTGAAAAGGGGGACCGCAGGGTGTGTTCCAACTACAGGGGATTCACACTCCTAAGCCTTCCTGGTCAGGTCTATTCAGGGGTTCTGGAGAGGAGGGTCCGTCGGATTGTTGAACCTCAGATTCAGGAGGCGCGATGTGGTTTTCGTCCTGGCCGTGGAACACTGGACCAGCTCTATAACCTTAGGTGGATCCTGGAGGGTGCGGGGGAATTTGCCTAACCAGTCTGTGTTTCATGGATTTGGAGAAGGTGTTTGACCGCGTCCCTCGTGGGGTCCTGTGGGGAGTACTCCGGGAGTATGGGGTACCAGGCCCTCTGATACGGGCTGTTAGGTCCCTGTTTGATCGGTGTCAGAGCTTGGTCCGCATCGCCAGCAGTAAGTCGGGCTCGTCCCAGTGAGAGTTGGACTCCGCCAAGGCTGCCCTTTGTCACCGATTCTGTTCATAACCTTTATGGACAGGATTTCTAGGCACAGCCAAGGTGCGGAGAGGCGGAGCTGGCCTAAATGGCGCCCTGTGCGAGATCCCCCGTGACCCCCACCCCCCACCCCCCCACCCCCACACACACACACAAGAAAAAAAATTACACCTACAACTTTGTTTCAAATTGCGTGGAGTGTATTATATATAACAACGTTTGCTAACTGAATACAACATCTAGCTCCTGGCCACCTTCTCACCACTTGTCAAAGTTCTACTGAATTAGTGATGATGACAACACCTGCCATCGCCTTCATTCCTGGGAAATATGAAAGTAGTTGGCACCTTGGTATGTCCTCTTCGAACTAGCTCTGTGCGTATGCTGTCGGTAATTGGTGATGGCCACTTGGCTGGGTCTGAAGAAAGAGGCTCATCATAACCTTCAATGGGACTCATTGGTTGATCGTTCAGGCTTCTCTATAGAGCTCCGGGAGTTGACGTCACTTCTCCCGGCATGCAACAGTTCAAATCGAAACGGCGCCATATTGGCAGGCAGAAGCCGGCAGCTGGACTATTTGTTATTGTCAGATAACTCAATCAAACGGGAAATATGGTAGATTCCTGTTGTGCCCCAGGATGCAGAACAGACGCGGACGACATAAGGAATGATCCATCTACAGGATTCCCCAAGATCCGGAGCGCCGCAAACGTTGGATCATTGTAATAAAACGCACTAGTGACCGGGCTAAAATGAAGCTGTGGGATCCCGAGAGTAAAGGTTTTCGCTTATGCAGCGACCACTTCATATCAGGTACTTAAACCAACGTTTCCTCAACTGTGTGTGGTATTTATTTTAAATGCTTTTATTGTGATTCTTAGTGGACTTCCTAAACTTATTTTGGCGTGGCTTTTTCTGTCTTATTACTCATAGCAGCAAGTAAACATCACGTAAAACGTTGCCTTGTGAGTTCTGCGTGCTGCCGTTTACGTGTTTTATGATCACAGCAATTAACCGGCTAAGCTGTATTTAATTTTTAAGCAATGGTTGATCAATTGTCAGATCACAGATAAAAAGCACTTTGGATCGCTATTATCTGTCTCACCGAGACTACTTACGTGTAAATCTGTTATTTGTCCGTCCATCCATCCATTTTCATCCGCGTATCCGGAGTCGGGTTGCGGGGGCAGTAGCGTGACTTCCCTCTCCCCAGCCACCGGAGCCAGCTCCTCCGGGTAAATCCCAAGGGGTTCCCCGGTCAGGTCCGGTGTTGTGCCGGTAAGAAGCCCGCTCCGACAGCTTCTGGCGTCGGAGCGGGCAGTAGAGTCGAGAGTCCCAGACCTCTCCCCAGCTCCTCCGGCCGGGGGAATCCCAAGGGGTTCCCCGGTCAGGTCCGGTGTTGTGCCGGTAAGAAGCCCGCTCCGACAGCTTCTGGCGTTTTTAAAAAGTATCCCAGGGGCACGGTAAGGGTCGGAGATGTTTAGTCTATTTAATTTCTGACTATATAAAACGATTTCTTCTGTTTTAAAGTGTGAAGTAAACTCAGACGAAGTAAAATCCAAGCGGATCCCGTTCATGTTCATGGTTACATCCGTGTTTGTTTACCTTTAGTGCATGCCAAAATGGCGTCCACTAACTGAGAGTCACGTGGGGTCCGGAGCTCTATGGACAGAAAACAGAAGCGTAACTCAACACATTGCTATGTGGACCATTTCACATATTCTATTAAAATACAATATGTGACATTCAAATTTCTCTAATGTTTGCAGGACACACACACACACACACACACACTTGTGCAAAACTTACCTGACATATCTTGTTGGGGAGATGTGGCAGCTGGCTGTCCCTCATCAAGTTCACATATACTGGTAGGTCTCTCTATTGACAGAAAATGGAAGCATAACTCACCACATTGCTATATGGAACAATTCCCATATTCTGTGAAAATACTATTTAAATGTCTATAGCTAAATGTTTGCTGGACACACACACATGTGCAAAACCCACCTACAGTATCTTCCTGGGGAGATGTGGTGCCAGCAGACTGTCCCTCCTCAAGTTCAAACACTGGCCTACTGGTATGAGCAGTGGAGGTGTCCCTCAGTGGCAGCTGATGTCATCCCAAAATATCTGTGTAGGGCTCCTGATGTTGCATAAAACAAACAATACAATCTTCATGTCACGTCTGTTGCTTAAGCATTTTAATTAAAATGTTACAATGAGCATTTACAGTTTTCAGCAGTGGTGGAAAGAATTCTGAAAATCTGTGCTCAAGTACAAGTACTGTTACATTGCTAAAATATTACTCATTTACAAGTAAAAGTACTGGTGTTAGAGAAATACTCAAGTAAAAGTACAAATTATTCATAAAAACCTCAGAGTATTATTTATTTTTAACGGCTGATGTCACCATCACTTCTCCAGACTGGGGCTGCCTGGAAATTGTGTGTTTTCCTTTACCAAAAGTTAAAACACCAACAATCTATTAATCATTAATAATTGATAGAATACAAAACAAGTGTTTTTCCCTAATTTTTTTTGACATTTTTAGTTTTTATTTCCTTATTCAGCAAATGTCTCCGGCACACAAAGAACTAAATGACCAGAGGAGCCACAACTATTGATTAAATATCCATGAATCCATTTTAACTGGTTAAATTCTTCAACTCTCCCACGCTGCTTCAAGGTCACTGTGAGTTTTTAACAGCCGCGGTGTGCTGTGCAGCACACAACGCAACACGATGACATCATCGACTTGTACAGTGCTGAAAGGCGAGACAGTCTCAACTTTCAGCTAAAAAAAAGACCGCTCTAGCTATTATAGTTTTTATTTTATGGCAGTTTACAGTTTAAACGGGATCTTACTAGCAGGGCACCTCCAGCGGCCCGCTGCCGCTCCGTTTTTTCGTGGGGTAAATAATATGTAGCTCATTTCCCGAGTCCAAAAAGAAATGCGAATGGCGCCGGCGCGAGACCTGCCGCCCGCCGTCAATGTATTTAGCAAAATTCTCAAAGACTCATTTTAATTTGATAGCGTTTGGTTATCAGCCTTTCGGTTTTCCCACTCTTAGCTTTTCATAAAAGCTCATTTGACAAAGAAAAGGCAAGCGGTTGGAAGTAGTTCTAAATACATGCAACGTAAGAAGCTAGCAAAAGACATTTGAAAGGATCATCATAGCACCATGCAAAACGTACAGATTAGAGAGGTTAGTTAATCAATAAGTTGGGGGACAGGCAGGAAAAATACCAACTAAATAATAAAGAGATGCATACCTGCATCTTTTCCTCGTTTCTCCTCCTCTTCTTTTCTTTTTTTTTTCCGAAATTGGGCACCAGATGGCTTCGACTGTTTCTTCTCCATTATGTTTGTGAGCGGTGATATGTGAAACGGTACCTGTATCCCTCCATCATCACTCTCCGAGATCCCTCCGCCCCCCACCTGATGAAGGGCGCTATAGAGCGCACTACAGAGGCGCGGCGGACACAAGGGGGCGCAATAAAATCCCAATATAAATGCAAACAATGACTTTGTTGTGCTTTTATTACAGAAATATTATTATTATCATCACTCATCACTATTATTATTATGAAGAACATGTGATTTCTATGTTTTGTTGATGTATCGGTTGATGGAGAAAAAAAAAAGGAAATTAAATGTCCCCCCCTCCAGACTGCCGCCCTGTTCGGCCGCACATGTTGCACATATCAAGCTCCGCCACAGTGGAGGGCATCTGTTTTGGTGGCCTGAGGATCAGGTCTCTGCTTTTTGCAGATGATGTGGTCCTGTTGGCTTCATCAGAACGTGATCTTCAGCTTTCGCTGGAGCGGTTTGCAGCAGAGTGTGAAGCAGCTGGGATGAGAATCAGCTCGTCTAAATCTGAGACCATGATCTTGATTTGGAAAAGGGTAGAATGCCTTCTCCGGGTCAGGGATGAGGTCCTGCCCGAAGTGGAGGAGTATATGTTACTCAGGGTCTTGTTCACGAGTGAGGGAAAACTGGAGCGTGAGATCGATAGGCGGATTGGTGCTGCATCTGCAGTGATGCGGGCGATGTACCGGTCTGTCGTGGTGAAGAGAGAGCTGAGTGAGAAGGTGAAGCTCTCAATTTACCGGTCAATCTACATTCCTACCCTCACCTATGGTCATGAGCTTTGGGTAGGGACCGAAAGAACGAGATCGCAGATATAAGCTGCCGAAATTAGTTTTCTCCGAAGAATGGCTGAGCTCTCCCTTAGAGATAGGGTGAGAATCTTGGTCATCCGGGAGGGGCTCGGAGTAGACCCGGTGCTCCTCCACATCGAGAGGAGCCAGTTGAGTTGGCTCGGGCATCTGGTCAGGATGCCTTCTGGACGCCTCCCTGGTGAGGTTTTCCGGGCACGTCCAACCGGGAGGGGACCTAAAGGTAGACCCAGGACACAGTGGAGGGACTATGTCTCTCACCTGGCCAGGGAACGCCTTGGGATTCCCCCGGAGCAGCTGTCCCAAGTGGCTGGGGAGAGGGAAGTCTGGGCCTCTCGCCTTAGGCTACTGCCCCCCGACCCGACTCTGGATAAGTGGATGAAAATGGATGGATGGATGGATATTATGTCCTAACTCCTTCACAAAGTAAGCCTATTTATTTATTTCCCGAGCATTTGTAGGAAGACAAACACCCGTGACTGTTCTACATTACAAGAATACGACAGTCCTAACACACTGTAGAACACATTTAGACCACATACATTACTATAATATATTATAGAAATAAGTTTGATGTAATAATGCAACACACTGCTCTAATATAAGCATATTTAATAACATTATGTCCTACAAGAAGCCCTAAACTCGAGTTGTAAATTCCATTTTAAAGTGGTTTATTGAAAGCTAGAATTCTGCTCCAGCTTACCTTGAAGAAAACATGTAGCTGTTTATGCTTTAAATGATGATCTATTATGTTCAATAGAGTACATTTTACAATCATGACTTTATATTTTATGTGAAGACAGTACATGCATCTATAACCCAGTTTATCTGGCTTCTATAGCAACTAATTAAGAAAAAAAATTCAATAAAACTGTATGGTCAAACACAGTAGATAAATAAGTGTTAATTGTGAAAAAATGAACACCAAACTTGTACAACATGTATAATAGCATTTTTAATAAAACACTTTACCAACATTATGTTTAGTCATTACATATGCACAAATAAGCTGAATCATTAATTATGAGCAATGTTCTCAAGACCTAATGAAACTCTTTTGAATAACTTTATTTTGATTATTATTAAAATAAAATTTGTCTGTGGGTTAAAATTTGAAATTACAAATTTTAGGGTTGGATAAAAAGTCAAAATGTAATTTCAGATCTCTATATTTTTGGTTTAGCTCAATATTTCTACATTTTAATAATACCTATATAGGTTGATTATCTTACCATGGCTGGCTGCGCTGCATATGGATGTAGCAATCGGTCTGAGGGAGGAATCAGAATTATGTCTTCCCAAAGACACAGAGAGAAGAAGAAAATGGCTGGCTCAAGTCAGCAGGAGCAACCTCACCATGACCAGAGATCACAATAACAAAAAGCTGTGTGCAGTGAGTTTAACGTGCACTTTCACGTTTTCTATCAAGGCTCTACATGTTTTGCTCTCAACTGCACAAGGCTGCAATTAAACTGTTAAATGTGGCAGGAAATAAACTAACACACCACTCTACAGGCACATTTTGAGGAGGGAGAGTTTACTAAGACTAGGCAAGGCAAGGTGAGACCAAGCCCCCACAATGTGGCTCTAAAATTGGTCCCAACCCGGAAGTACCAAAAATTGCAGTTCCACCCTCATCTGCTGGGGGCTGGTATCAGAAGCGAGCAAATCCTCATTGACTCCCATGTTAAAATTGCAAATTTCACAGCAGAGATAAACATGTTTACAGCCTGGTACCAAAACATGTTTTTTGTTTAAATTATCTAGTTTACACTCATGACAACTCTGAGGGGGGTGAATTTTTTCTCACTCTTCTGTTTAAGTGTATTGAAAGCCTAAAATTCTGTATAATTAATGAGCATCCGACACACGTGACTGCCGCCTCAGACCCACGTGACCACAGAGCTAGCTCCGTGGAAAGGCCTCAGTACAGCCTCGGTGTCTCCTGTAAACTGTTACGGGATTTTGAGTGTCTGTGCTTGTGAATTCTGTTTTGGATATTATTGGTGCAATTGTTGGACAAAATGACTTGCACTAATAGAGCGTCCAAGGAGTCTCCACTTCATTTTTTTTTTCCGGTAAGTTAAATGATTTGTATGCATTTTAGGTCACTGCCGCCTTTAAACTAGCTGAGTTTATCGAAGTAGCTAGCTAACTATCATTTAACATGTAGCATGTACTGTTTAACGATGAAATTTAAATGTAAAATACAGTAAAATAATTAATAGGGCATATGTCGATGGGTACAAGGGTAAAACCCAGTGCATGGGTTGAAATATGACGGAGCTCATGGAGGGACACTTCTGTGCTTCATTCTTCCACCCGGTTCTCCCCGGCGGTCCGATGCAGCACCTACTAGCTGCTGCACGGGCTGCCCGCTCGTGGAGCTCTCGCACGGGGCTGACCGCTCGTTGAGCTCTCGGACGGGGCTGACTGCTTGTGGAGCTCTCTGACTCGTAGAGAGACCTGACCGCAGATATACTGCAGCTCAATTCCCTACTTAAATGCAAAGTTTGAGAGACGTGGTTTACTTAGGTCTGCACTTCCTTTGGGCTAATTTGTCAAGTTCACAAAATGTGGAACGGGATGTAAGTTTAGAATCAGCAGCGGATCGGAACATATCTCGAAGCCCTGGCCAACGAAACGGTCCACATGACTTTTACTGTCAGTCTCGGAGAAAATTCGGGTTGTTTTAGCGTTAGTCGGTAATTCTGCAACAGTGACTCTAACTAACGAAGCACTAGTTGACAGACATCATTACAGCGTGAAATCCAGCCCAGCGTGACCCGGTTCTGTAAGGAATTCTGTTCAGGAGGTCGCATTTCAGGCTCTCCACATCATATGTGACTGACTTTTACATTATAATAACGATCACACACTGGGAATGTTATAAAGCGCCTATATCTGACAGTTTCTTTTGTATATTATCTGACTTTATAAACTCCAACAACAATGTGCTTCTATTTTTTTTTCAGGCTAAATCTACCCAAGACATGGCTGTCAGACTGATTTAGCTGCAAGAATGCACTTGTCCAGGCTGATATGAAGCCTTACCCGTAGCAAAGGTGAATTATTTTTAATAATCGTCTATTTAAACATGTTATTATCACCTTGTAGTTTTAATTTGTTTTGCAGATTGTTACACGTGATTTTATGCTCTTTTAAACATTTATAAATGTGCTACTTCTTTGTTTTTTACATAGCCACCCAGTTTAGAGCTCCCCGCTGCTGTGTGTCTGGTGACACAGGGACCATGATGGAAATTCGTCTGCCAGAAAGTCTGGCTCATCATTTAGCCAGATTTCTAAGGTATAGGCCAAAAATGTTTAGGTTAGTTTTGATAAGGTCTGTGCATCTCTCATTTCATGACATGTTTGTCCCAGGTGGCAGCCGGGTGAGGGTGAGCGTGTTGGAGGGTGTGATGCTGAGGGTGGGTTACCTGGAGGTGTGGATGACGTTGGAGAGGCTGTGTGGGTGGGAGAAGGCTGCGGGCATGGGGGAGCCTGATGAGCCTGGGTGTGATGCAGGTGAGAGAGGGGACAGGGCAGAGGCCAGCTGGATGTGCAGCAGGCAGGGGGAAGCTTAAGCCTGGGTGGGTGGAGGTGGATCCAGGGCGGGCAGGGAGAGGTGAGACCTGGGCCTGGGCTGGTCGTCAGCGGTGCGCCACAGGCAGCTGATGGCAGTGTGGAGGACCAGCAGTCTCCAGCAGGTGAAGGCGGGGAAGAGGAGTAGCCGTGCCCAGCAGGTGATGGCGGGGTGAAGGAGCAGGAGTGCCCAGCAGGTGATGGCGAAGAAGATGGCTGGAGAAGCAGCAGCAACAGCGGAGAGAGATCCGTGGCCGGAAACGCCAGGGCACAGAGCGCAACACTGCAGGCGGGCAGAGTTACTCTTCCCCGCGCGTAATTGATCAGTGCCTGGCAGTGTTAGAGTTGCTCTCTCTCTGTGAGTGGTCTGGTGCCGGGGACCTATTTACTGCCGGAGTTGTTGTGTGCCACAGGGGCCTGGCCGAGGAGGATTGGATCCACCGTGCAGTGATCCTGTGGTTCCCAGACGACGCCGGCCTTGGAGATTCCTTGGTCGAGAGCTCAGCAGGGCCGGACTGGACCGCCTTTCCCTTGGGGCCCTGCACACACTCGATTGAACGCTTTTTTCCCCTTGGCATCATCATCAGGGTTTTGTAATAAATGTACCTTTTTAATTTGCTTTGGCTGTCGCACTGCTTGCTTTTTTAGAACCTATTTTAATCCTTTTAATATTAGCGGCACCTTCCATTCCACCTGAATCGTGTCAGATACATAACCCAAACCAATATTACAATAACATAAACTTACACAAAACACTCCTCTTGATAGAACAAATCTGTTCAGCACATTCTGACAGACGCGCTTATTTTCGAACGGGGTGAAATGCTATATTAGGTTTTGTGTGAAAATAAGT